AAGCAGTCACACGCACTAACGTAACTAAAGCTAAGCTACCTGGTACCGAACAAGAAAGAGAGGGGGAAAGCAAACAAGCTAGCTGTTCAAATTTCCCCAACAAACCAGGTTTAACTGGCAGATCATGAGGGTCCTTCTGCTCTAACCCTTACACACAAAAAGATGAAACAACCTGATTCCTTGGTCACTCTTCTGTCTCCCAGTCCCCTACTGTGTGTTCGTGGCACCAAGGACTGAACCCAGTGCCTCTACACTGAGTCACATCCGCAGGCCTTTTGTATTTTTATGTTTTCATTGTGAAGGATCAAACCCGGGGCCTCTGCATGCTAGACAAGTGCTCTACCACTGAGCTACACTCCCAGGCCCTTGTGTTTCAAGGGAGTCTAAAAGACTTTTCTATTTTTAAAACCAATTTTGTCTACTTTGCTCACAGGAACACTTGGGTTGTTTTATGAAGGGTTGGTGTCACCTGGTTCCAGAATTGAAAATAAGGCCAGTTAATGCCTTTACCTGAAAAGTATAATATTACCTTTTGAATTTCCCACCCAACTTGTCTCTCAGGTGGCATCAAAGGAGGCCTCGGGTAAACTCATTAAATCAGGAGAGGGGCAATGTGAGCACGGCAGCTCTATCAGTGTACAGCAGTGGGTGCAAATTCCCTGCAGTAAATATGATCCCTATATGCATCAAAATTGTGCCAAAAAGGTTTTTTTTCTTTTCTTTTTGGGTTTGAGATAGGGTCTTGCTATGTAGTTGAGGCCGGCCCAGCCTCCGGCCCCAGCCTCCCAAATGTAGGGATTACAAGCATGTACCACCATGCTAGGTCAAAATTTAAGATATTGGTAAACAAATAAAAGCTACACCTCCTCAAAAAAAAAAAATCAGTGTGTCAACCAAGGTATGTCGAGGCTGGCTCCTTGGCTGCAATTACCAAGGAAAGACTGATTAAAAACTCAGAGCCCAGAAGCTTCTAGGTCTTTCTGAGAACCACAGACCTGGGCTCCTAAGAGCTGGTAATTACTTGAACCCTGATGCTCTCCTCAAGGTCCCAAGCTACATCAGCAGAAAATGGTATAAGGGTGGGAAAGCCAACGAGCCCATGGATTCCTTTGGAGCCTCTGGATTCCTTCTCAGGTAAGACTGCAGAGAACTCGGACCTAGCCAGCTCCATCCCCTCTGCCACTCAGGGCAAACCCAGCAATCACAGGCTGCCCAGTACACTGGATCGCTGGCAGTCTTTAACTCATACCATTGGCCCCGCCCCAGTGTCTCCAAAAGATGAGGAGCAGTGGGGCCCACTAATTTGCAGGTTATTTGGGGGGATTTGGAGGGTGCTGGGGATACAGGCTTCACCTGCTAGGCCAATCCTCTACCACTGAGCTGTACAACAGTTTCCAAGGGCTGTGGATTTAGCTCAGCAGCATAAGTGCCTGCCTTGCAAAAGCTTAGTCATGAGTTCGATCCCCCGTACTGATTAAAAAAAAAGTCACAACAGAGCTTCCAGGTGATTTTTCTTAGGAAGCTTTCCAAATCATGTGTCTACTGAGCAGAGCCAGCTGGGCAGAACAGAGAAACCACCTCTGGAGCAGACAGTGCCTTCACCTCTACTCAGCATAGGCACCCAAACAGCTGGGGTGAAGCACACCGGCCACAGGGCGTGGACAGGAGGGCATCAGCCACAGTTCTGGCTCCACGGTGTACAGACGGCTCCTGAGTACTACATCTCTATCCCCCTTGGGGACAGGGCCTTTTCATGTGTGAGGAGCCAGGTGTGTACATTCTGGGCCAGATGGGACTGCCTATGGCAGAGACTTCTAATTGGTCCTCTGACACACATGTCCTCACTTCTAGAGTAACAGATGTGTCACGTGTGTCTGCAACCTCCTGGTGAAGACTGTTTCCCAGCCTCCCGTGCTGCCAGGAGTGCTGCATAAGGGATTTCTGGCCAACGGATTGTGAGTGGAAGTGAGGTCAGAGTTGGGTGCCCACTGGCCCAGACAGGGTGAGCAAGCTCTTAGGGGAGCTCCTGAGTCTGCCTCCATCCCAGATGGGAGTCTATAATGCTGATACAACAGGCTCCCAAGAATCAGTGAAGAAGCCAGATGTGGCAGTGCACCCCTGGAACCCTAGCACTCTGGGACACTTGAGGCAGGAGGCTCACCAAGTTTAAGGCCAACTTAAGCAACCTGCAGAGACATCTCAAAAATTTAAAGATACATAAATTTTAAAAAAGCTGGGCATGGTGTCACACATCTGCAATCTCAGCACTCAAGAGGCCGAACGGGAATACTGCTACAAGTTTGAGGCCAGCCTGGGCTACATTGTGAACCCTGCCTCAAAAAAAAAAAAAAAAAAAAAAACACAGATAAACGTAATACAATATATAATTTTTGTGTGTGTGTCTTTTTGGTTTTTATCGGTACCAGGGATCAAACTCACGACTGCCTGCTTGCAAGGCAGGCGCTTATGATGCTGAGCTAAATCCCCAGCCCCTACAATATATAATTTAAAAAAGGACTGGTTGCAAAATTAAATTTGAAGGCCCTGGGATCAATCTCCAGTGCCACAAAAATAAATAAGGTAAAGGCTGACCCTGGTATGAGGAGTTACTGGTAAGATAGGGGTCACCAGCTCCTGATATAACCTTTGGCACTACTACAACCAAGAGCTAAACTGGACCTTTAAAATACTAGGGTGAGGGCCTGGGGATTTAGCTCAGAGGCATAAGCGCCTTGCAAGCGTGCAGTCATGATTTTGATCCCCAGTACTGATTAAAAAAAAAAAAAAAAAAACTAGGGCTTTCTTCTTATAAAGATGAACTGTCGCCCCAGACTTCCTCATGCCAAGGGTATAAACCACCACTCCCGCCTCTTCAGCTCAGAACAGACCAGAAAGTACACATGGAAAAGCAGCCTGGGCTGGAGCTCTGTGGCAGGATGCTTGCCTACCATTTGCGGAAAAAAAAAAAGTCAATGCGTGGGCAGATATCTGTTCTCAAACTGTTCAGGGTGGGGCTGCTGAGCAAGCCACCAAAAGATGAACAGCAGGCAAATGCAAAGTGACGTACATACAACTAACGCCACAATTGAGAGTAGAGGCTTTGGGGACACAGGCATCAAATGCTTCTCACACATACTCACACTTGTGCCCATGAAGTGATGAGAAATACAGCACTTCTTCCACCAATGAGAGAAACAAAAAGCAAAACAAAACACACATGAGATACAGAAAGAAGGGCCTGGCCAGTGCAGACGCTACCAAGCGCAGCCAGGGCAGGGGATGGGCCTGGCCCTCTCCCTGTAGCCTTAACCAGCAGGGCTGTGGGGCAGGAAACTTTCCCAGAGACCCAAGGAACGTCAACGGAGGCCCAGCCGAGACATCACTAATGTCTCCTGAAGCCCCAAACCCTGGCTCAATCACCACTACCCCGGCCCAGGAGGGCAGCTCCCAAGACCCGCAGGAGCCACTGGGTGCCACCCACACTCAGCCCAGGACCTGGCCCCCAAGGTGCTGTCACCTGAGCTCAGGAAGTATCACCTCTCCCATTCTGCACCGTGTGTGTGCTGACTGGGACGAGGACTGGTGTTTAATAAAGGTGCTTCACACTCTCCAAATCCTGGGGAAAATGAAGCCCAGCCCAGGCCTCACCCTGTTGACCCTCCCGAAGCAGACCGGCTGGCACCCCACCCTCAGTTCTGACTGCACAGGGCTGGTGGGCTTCTTACCCCCTTTTCATCTGCTGAGTTAATCTCCCTCAAGCTGTGGACAGGTTTCAGAGTATATTTGCTCGACAGTCATTTCTCAGCACCGAGCATGCCAGCACACACGTGTAATCCTGGCACTGTGGGAAGCTGAGGCAGGAGGATCATAAGCTCGAGCCCAGTTTCAGCAACTTAAGACTCAGCAAGACCCTATCTCAAAATTTAAAAAATGAGGCTGGGGATGTCACTCAGCACAAAGACCCTGGGTTAAATCCTCAGCACAAGAGAAACAAATTACAGCATCTGCCACGTCAGGTCCTGAAAAGACCGAGAAGCAGACGCTGGGTCTCAGCCCAGCTGGCAGGAGTCAGTCACACTGCCCAAGGCCATGTGTGCCAGCACTCCAGGGTGGGGGCAGCGAAGGCAATGCCCGTGCAGGGAAGCATGAGGCCTGGCCCCAGGGATGAGCAGCAGGTTCTGAGCAGCTGTGCCCCAGGCAGCAGCACCCCCAGGCATAGAAGGGGACTTGGGTGGCAGCTGTGAGGAAGGCACTGGGCCACCTCGCTGGAGCACACAGGGAGCAGGGGTGGCTGCTCCGCATCAGCTGGGTCTCTCACACCTGTTCCTGGACTCAGACAGGAAGTCACCAGGTACAAAAGCCCGGGTACCCTGCATACACCATGTTCTGGGGAGTCACTGGGTGGCATGGGCTGCAGCCCCGGTGATGCCCCAGGTGTCCCCCAGGGCCTGCCACCTGCTTCCTTGCTCTGAGTTCCCCTCTGAGAGAGTCCCAAATCCAGAAGGCCGAGGGACAGTGAGGGAGAGCTGAGCCTGGGTCTGTGGATCTGGCCAGGTCATCCCCTGCCCAGGACCCCACACAGGACAACTCTGGGGCCCACCCTGCTCTGCTCTGTGCCTTCCCTTCTACCTTTTTTCTAGAGCTCCTCCGAACTCCAGGATCCCCAGACCTTGGCACACCCTGGCCTCACTCTCTACCACTTGAGCCACATCCTCATCCACTGTGACTGATATTGTAAAAGTGTCCTGGCCAGGCAGAAGTACATGCCTATAATACCAGACACTTAAGAGGCTGGGGCAGGAAGATCACAAGTTCAGGCTTAGCCTCAGGACCTTAGTGACTTACAATGACCCTCTCTTAAAACTACAAAATCAAAAGGCTGGGACATCATTCAGCAGGGCAGCTCCAAGGAGGAGCACTTGCATGGTGTGCACAGAAGATGGGCAAAGAAGCCAGGAGTCACAGCACGCCCTGAGGCCACGGGGCAGCCAAACACTCACAGCTCCGGACGATGTGGGCAGCGCGGTGCAGCTCCAGGTGGCCCAGGAGGTCAAGCAGCTGCTGCACTGTGGCCTGCCGCATGCCCCACCACCACAGCAGCTCCCTCGTGATGCTCACACCCTGCACGCGCTCCATGGCCTTGATCCTCTGCAGCTGGGTCAGGTCTGTGATCACGTAGGAGGCTGCAAAGCAAGCAAGAGACACTGAGCAGCTGGCCCTCCCCAAGAGACTGGGCAGGCGGCCGTCCCTGTCCTGAATGTCTCCTCCTGTCTACATATTCACATATGCTTGTGGGTATGCATGCATTTACAGTACTAGGGACGGAACACAGGGCCTTCATGCTCAGATAAATCCTCAGCCCTTTTTATTTTTATTTTGAGGCAGGATCTCACTAAATCACTAAGCTGCCCAGGCTGGGCTCAAACTTGCGATCCTCCTGCCTCAGCCTCCCAAAGCACTGCAACTATTGGTGTGTGCCACCAATGCTTACTCTGTTGAACACTCATGGGGACTTGCACACAGGTAATAGAATATAAACATCAACCTGGCGATGATCACAGGACAAAGAGTGCGAGGCTTGGGTGGCAGCTGTGAGTGCTGGGGCCACATATCACAGCAGGTGCCTCCATGCTGTCTCCTGTCTTGGGTGGGACTCCATGGGCAGAGCTATAGCTGCTTTGTCCACTGCCTCAGTGCCAGAGCAGAGAACCCAGCCTAGCTCAGAGGCAGGCAAAGCCAGCCCCAGGGGGAAGCAGGTGAGCAACTCTAGTGGATCCACAGGGCCCTGGGCATCTCGGCCCTGGCTGTCTGAGGCCCAGACCTAGGAAGGAATAAGCAAACACAGAACTCATGCCCCAGCACCACTGTGGGACTGTGACAAGGATCACAAGCACCCCTGGGAGCCAAGCACAAAGACACTCACTTATGAACCCAGCTACCCGGGAGACCAAGGCAGGAAAATCACAAGTTCAAGGCCAGCCTGAGCAGCTCTAAGACTCTACTTCTGTGGGGGATGAGGTGTCACTTTGTAGGCCCAACCCCCTCTAACCTGCAATTTACAATAGCCGCCCTGGTATGCGAGAAGGAGGTAGAATAGGAATGCCTGTTCTCAGTGAGACCCCTCACCCTCTGGAATCCATACTGTGAGCTGGCTTTGTTTTGCAGAAGTCTTGAGGAAGTGGCTGGCCACCCTTTGTGACACTAACAGCAGACAAATTAACAACATTCTTGAGCTAATGAATTTCTTCCTGGGCTAGAGAAGTTATGAGAACTGGTTGTGATTATTTACTTCACTTAGATAGCTTTAAAATAAACATTGTAGTCTGTCACGTTGTAGCTTGCCACAAAGAATGCCTTTTCACTACTTAATTATCTGGGCTCTGTGAACTGATCGGGTTTACTATATATGAATCCTAAAATAAAGATTGTGCGTGCAGTGCAGTGTAACGCGGTGCAGACAGTAAAGGTGCTGTGTCCTGTCTTCCTTTCCGAGCACTGTACCCCCCGTGTCCCGATCAGGCGTGTGTGCGTGTTTACCTTTCCCGGAGTTCAGAGTGCTCTAAGACACTCACGACAAGTGGCGCCCGAACAGGGACTCCGAAGGTCGCTTAGGAAGGTAAGTATAATTTTATTACGGGGAAATGGGACAATCTGCTTCCTCTCCTTTCTTAAAAATTCTTAAACATTTATTATCTATATATGGCATATCGCTCAGGTCAGCTGACTTGGATATGTGTATTGATACAATTAAAGAATATAATCCTTGGTTTCCAGATAAAGGAACTTTGGATGTAGAAGTATGGAGGAAGGCAAGGGTTAGTATAGAAAGGGCTATGCAACAGGAGGAGAAGATTCCTTTACGTTTTTGGGCTATTTGGTCGGTTGTGTACTCTTTATTAAAAGCTATGGAAGATGAACATATTGTAGAAAATCTTCAACTAGAAATTAAGCCAGTTATTCAGGAATTGCCCCTCACAGAGGAGGAGCAGAATGTAGTTCAAAATGACGCTATCGCTTTAAGTAGTGAAAAGGCGTCCAAACCGAAAGTAAAATCCGCTACAGCCGACTCAGCTTTAGCTGCCGCAGCAATATCAAATTATGACAATCGCCCAATTTTACAGGCTATACAGCATTTAACACAAGAGGTGAAACAACTCTCCGTTAAGCAGAACCCGCCTATAGTTCCCTCTGCACCTCCTCCATCTAACCCTAATTGGAGTAAAGCCAAGCTAGCTTTGGCTGATCTACCAAAATTAGGGGATTCTGACGAGGAAAAGCCTGCCTTTGCTTTCCCTGTAATCAGGCCGCAGCCAATAGATGGAGCGGCAGTTCCCCCTAGATGGGAAGCATTTAATATGGATGATTTAGCAAAATTAAAAAAGGCTGTAACCCTTTATGGCCCTCAGGCTCATTACACTAAAGAATTAATAACGTCGGTAGCAGATCAGTATGGTAATCTTGCTCCTTATGATTGGAAGGCCTTGGCCAAAATTCTTTTAAAAGAGCCAGAATATTTACAGTGGCACATGTGGTTTATAGAAGGTTGTGCGGAAAAGGCAAGGCAAAATGCTGACGATCGAGATCCTAATATTAGACTCATTTCTTATCCCATGCTCTCTGGTACAGGTTTCTTTGATACTGTTGAGCATCAGGCAGGAGCTCCAAGAGAGATTCATGCTCAATTAAAAAGTATTGCTTTAGAAGCTTGGGATAAAATACGGCCTAAAGGATCAGAATATGGATCTTGGGCTAAAGTTCTGCAAGGAGCCAATGAACCATATGTTGAGTTCGTTGCAAGACTTCAAAATGTTATAGAAAAAACAGTAGTGGGACAAGACTTACAAGAGCATCTCTTAAAAATGTTAGCTTTTGAAAATGCTAATGATAAATGCAAAAGGGCTTTAATTTCAATAAAAGATACTGGAACGATTGACAGTTTTATAAAACAATGTAAAGATTTAAATTCAGAATCTAGGAAAATGCAACTGTTTGCTGAAACCATGGCAACCACGTGGACTAATTGGCAATCTAAAAAGGAACAGTCTTTAAAATGTTTTAATTGTGGTCAGACAGGACATGTAAAGAGGGCCTGTCCAAAACTTGTAGGCAATGATAAAAAAAAGAGATCTAGAGCTCCTGGCTTATGTCCAAAATGCAAGAAGGGAAATCATTGGGCTCGTGAATGCAGGAGTAAACAAGTTAATTCAGCTGAACAGAAGGGAAACGGGAGAACGGGCCCTACCCCGGGCCCCGGACAAATCAATGGGGTAAATCTACCGTATTCTCCCTACAGCCAGCCACCCAACACAGTGCCGCAGTGGACATACCAGCCTTAAAAGATGTAAAATTAAGAGGAGGACAATCTCCCGTGAAAATTCCTACAGGAATTTTTGGTTCCCTGCCTGCGGGAACTTTTGGCTTGCTCACGGGTAGATCTAGTTTAAATCAAAAAGGCATTACTGTTCACTTAGGAATTATAGATGCAGATTATACTGGAGAAATTCAAATTCTGATGTCCTCACTTACAGATTATAAATTATTAAAGGGAGAACGTATAGCTCAACTCATTTTACTGCCTTATATCCCAATAGGATCCTCTGTTGTTCAACGAACAGGAGGGTTCGGCAGCACTAACCCTATTAATGTAATGTGGACAGCTAAATTATCTCAACAACAACCTCTTATTAATATTTTTATTGAGCATAAGAAAATTCAGGCTCTTATAGATACAGGCTCGGATATTACTATTGTTAAACCTACTGATTGGCCTTCTCATATTACTTATACTATTATTCCATGTAATATAAAAGGAGTAAGTAAAACTCCAGTAAATACAATTGGACAAGCCACAATGCATATACATATAAAAAATGAAGAGGGTCAAGTTGCTGTTATTAAACCTTATATCTTAGAGGTGCCAGTTTCTATTTTAGGAAGAGATATATTAGAACAATGGGGAGTTCATATACATTTTTAATATGTTTCTACAGCTTAGGGAAATGAATCCTTTAAAGCTTAATTGGAAAAATGATGACCCAATTTGGATAGATCAGTGGCCTTTGACTACTCAAAAGTTACAGGCAGCGCAGGAATTGATTGATCAACAACTTTCTCTACATCACATAGAACCATCCACATCTCCTTGGAATTCTCCAATATTTGTGATAAAAAAGAAATCAGGCAAGTGGAGACTTTTAACGGACTTACGTGCTGTAAATTCATCCTTATTTCAAATGGGAGCCCTTCAGCCCGGTATTCCTTTACCCTCAGCGCTCCCTGCTGGTTGGTTTGTATATGTTATAGATTTACAAGATTGTTTCTTTAACATTCCATTACATCCAGAAGATAAAAAACGGTTTGCTTTTTCAATTCCTCAAACAAATTATCAAAGACCGTATCAAAGATATCAATGGAGAACTTTACCCCAAGGAATGAAAAATTCCCCAACTATATGTCAAATTTATGTTGATGCAGCATTAAAACCAGTGCGTGCACGATGGCCTCAGGTTTATACGGCTCATTTCATGGATGATATTTTATTCTCATATAGTGATAGAAATGTTTTAGAAGATATTTTAAAAACTTTACCTCAATATTTTTCTCCGTTTGGACTTGTAATAGCACAGGATAAAATTCAAAAGGAAGAAGTTAGTCATTATTTGGGATATATTCTTACTAGACAAAAGGTGATTCCACAAAAAATGTCTATTAGGAGAGATAAGTTATCCACTTTAAATGATTTTCAAAAATTATTAGGGGATATTAATTGGCTTCGTCCCACACTAGGTATTCCTACCCATGCATTACAGCATTTGTTTGCTACTCTACAGGGCTCTTCAGATCCATCCAGCCCTCGTTCTTTAACAGCAAAAGCAGAGCAAAAATTACAGTTTGTAGAACAACGAATTAAGGATGCATTTTTAATTAGGATTGATCCTAAATTGCCTCTAACTTTATATATTATTAATACTTTTCAATATCCCTCTGCAGTTTTAGGTCAGAATGCTATGCCAGTAGAATGGGTATTCACTAAAACTAAGCAATCTAAAAATGTCACACCGTATATCGATATGATTGCAGCTTTAATTATGAATGGTAGAGCTCATTCTATAACTTTGATAGGAGAAGATATAAACAATATAGTTATCCCTTTAACTAAGGAACAATGGAAATATTTGTTGTC